GTGTGTGTGTGTGTGTGTGTGTGTGTGTGTGTGTGTGTGTGTGTGTGTGTGTGTGTGTGTGTGTGTGTGTGTGTGTGTGTGTTCTGTTTTGTCTGGGAGCTTAATGCATTTTTCCTTTGCGGTACATTGTGTGTTTAAATTTTTTATACAATGGCAGGTAGAAAAACATCACGAAAATGAATACACAAGGAGATATTAAGTTCATACCTATTTCATTGGTAATCTAAGATAAATCTTTAAATACCATTCTAGATGAACACAGACTGACCAGTATTGTTGACTATATTCCACCATGCCATAGTATATTTTCTGTTTCCCCTGTGCTATCAGTTAGTGAAAAGGAAAATAGCATTCAATATACAAAACGCATTTAATTCTGAAAATATGGAATACCATAGTTGTTTTTTCACATTAAATAATATACACATGTAACTGCAGTAGAACGCTCCACTAAACCTCAATTTTACAGTCAAAGATATTGCAGATAAACAATGTGTTTTTCTTTGTTTAGCGTAAGTCAATCTGGTATAACATTGATTATTGAGTTCTATCTCACTGTACAAGTAGCTCATTCAAACCAGCACAGAGATCTGGAATGTTTGTCTGTTTGTCACAACACCCTGACTCAAAAGTCATTATGCCTACTGCTAGAGCTTTATCTTGTTTTCATGCTGTTATTGTCATGTCATGTCACTTGTGTGTGTCACTGTCATCAGATCTGTAATGTTAGTCATCATGGACACACACCTGCTGTCATCACTGTCACACATCTGCTGCATCACCTTCGTCACCGTTGTCACCTGGTGACAACACAGCTGCCTTTAACTTCTTGGAGGGCTTATACCTGAAAGATTGGTGACTGCACTAAGTTATAGTTAGCAGGCCACGGTTATCAACTACGGCTATACATAGTTTCTTACACTGCAAAGCAATTATCACCATTTCTGAATTCAGATAATTGCCTAAAACCCCTGATACATACATGTCTTCGGTTGAATTAAAATATATTTTACATGAAAACCCCGAGAATGCTGTCATTGAAACTATAATATTTCACGACTTAATTTTTACATCGAATTTTTAATTGCAATAATTAAAAAAAACTGAAACTTTCAAAGTGTATCAGTGAACTTCACTTGCAGAAGCAGCGATGTCACAATTTCTCGTAAATATATTTAAATTTTAAACTACATACTACTCACCTCTCCCAGCGTCTATGGTCGAGCTGAGTGAAATCATCATGAGCGGCGATGTCCCTTAGATATTTCGTCAGGTACAACAGCTCCTTGTCCTTGTCTCGGTTGAAGTGAGCCTGCTTGAATGGCCGTATCTACAATGAAAACGCGAAACAGTGAGACCTTCACTGTAGAAAGGGAGATAACAATGGCCACATCATTTTCTCAGCTCTATAATGCTTTAATAATCTGTTTTGCATGTGACCACGTAACATGAGAATATCATATTTTACACAGGTTAGGCAATTCAGCATTACACACGTAATGTTACATTGTGAATTGTAACCAAAATTTTAGACTTCGAATGCTATATGTTAATGTGGTTGTGAGGAGATAATTGTGACGAGCTCCAAAGCCTGTGAAGGTGCCTGTCTGCACGTTAAGTCTTACGTTAGCACATAGCTTCTAATGCAGGGCCTTACCTTTAATCCATTGTTTGGGTTCATTAGAAAGTTGCGTCTGACGTCATCGAACATGATCGTGTTTCTGCTACTGTACTGCTCAAACTTTCCCCATATAACACCGAGAGGTTTCACCTGGAAGCCATATTCGTCCGGTCTTTATGGAATTAGTTAAAGTACAAGCCACTTACCAAACCCGTTATCAGAATCACTGGTTCACAGGTTAGGCTTTTATCCAATATTACCTAGCACGAAGTAGACACATGAGCTAAAGCTATCTCCCAAACTCAATAGTGGTATATTCTAGGCTATCTCTAGCCATTCCCCAAGTTATGAAGGCCAGGTTATGGAAATTTGTCCTCGTGCTATTTAAAAAAAAGAGCAAGTGGAAATTTTTAGAGTAACATTCTCAGAAGCTCTTCATAATCCAGAAAAGTCTTGAGCCGTATTACAATTAGTGAGGAGTAGAAATTTATGTTTATTGGCTTCTCATGTTCCCAGCATCTGCAAACCCTTATTCTACAGCTTACCTGTACTACGCCATACTTAGGCGTGTGAACTGTTATCATAGCCGAGCTATCCAACATAAATGTCAACTTGTAATTGGTGTTCCGTGTTATGCCCAGCTCTTGCATTTTTGCTTGGATCCACTTCATACTTGTCGCAGCTATATGGAGAGAGACTTTTGCTTAATAGTGAGATGTTTCATTCATCTCTGTTTTATATTGTATCTATGTATCTATGTAACGAAACATTTGTATTGTACATAAACCCATAAGAATTCCTTATCGCTGAATCAATTTTTTCAAATTGTTAATACTAGAAAACAATTAAAACAATGTATTATTTAGTACACAGTTGTAGTTATAATGCTGAAGCTGAGATAAAAATGCTTTTGCACAATAATTGTAAAACAGTTTTGTTATTAAACAAAATATTGTAAAAAATACAATGAATAATACCTTACTGGCATTTTCCTGAAGATCCACGTTATCAATAGTATATTAAGAATGACGTTATTCATACTACTCTAAAGATGGCTATCAAACCTATATTTGCTCAAACAAAGTACTATTCGAAAACGGCATTTTGGTATGCCTTTGGATAATGATGGCATGAGAGCAAATATAGGTCACATGATAGCATGACATGACAACTCAGATCATCGGCCATATGGCAACAAAAGATCCTTTCTACATAGCAGCACAACTACACAGTTTAAAACCATTGCCCTACTAGCTTCCCCTTGTGGTAATAAGACCTTTTCTTGTCTTATTTAGAAGCAGTTAGTTAGTCAAGTTAAATCCTTCCCGCGCCTATATGGCGCATAGGGCGGTGCCTATCTCCGTTTCAGTAACCCTGAGGCCCTGCAGCTGCTTTCACAGTAAATGCTACAGTAGGGGGTTAGTCCACTGGTAGCACTGCGAGTTAACTTGCCACACTCTGTCTCTATTTGCTGAATGCTAAGCAGAGAAGCCGTGTGTACCATTTTTCAAGTCTTTGGTATGACCCGGCCAGAAGTTGAACCCCCGACCTTCCACATGCGAGGCGAGCACTCTACCATTGAGCCATTGCTGCGGTTCATTTAGAAGCAGGGTTAGGTATAATACCGCTAGAGTCGGCAGATGGCCGCTATGTTTGAATGCAATTATTGATGAAAGCTGATACTTACACCATATCACAATGTCATAGTTCTCATAAGCTGACGTTAGGAACTCGTGCAGGTATGGCCTCATCAGCTCATAACCAGATTCTGCTGTTGACTTATGATCTGCACATAACCAGTGTTATAAAAAATGTAATAAAATTAGTTAGGAAACTCAATATGCCAATTACTGTAAATTATGAAAGCACTTAATTGCAATTATAAAGAATAATTTATTTCACGTTAATCCATGCAACCTGTTAGCAATTGAACAGTTATGACAACTAAACTTGGTTGTCTTTTTAAAACTAAATAAAGTTGCCTGGGCTTGTCACCAGATGGCAGTAGGTGACTGCCTACTGGGAAGAGTAGGAGCCAGATATAAATCAAGTGGTGTTCGTAGCAGCACTCAGATCAAGCAGACAGGTCTTGGGTTTTATGAGATTGTTGTAGACATCAGACAGTTTGTACACAATGTTGTCCCTGTTATCTAGTGACAAGACCAAGCAACTACATCTTGACCAAATCACCTAGATCAGCAGCTGTCAGCACTGATTCTAACTGGTTAACAAAATGGGTTTATCATAAAATAACACACTTTTAGCAATGCCATGAAATTCAGTGAACTTATTCAAACATCCAACTCTGTCTACAGTTATCAACATCAACTTAAACATTCACGACGCAAGCCAATTTTAAATTTAGTTGTTATTAAACAAAGTGGTTTCTAAACAGATTCATTGATTCTTACCAAACAGTGTATAGTCAACATCCAGGACCAGTAGTTTCTTTCCTGGTCGTGGTTCGTTGAGAATATCAACTTTCAGATCTTTTACTCTTCGCCCAACCTTTGCCAGAAATTCTTCTCTGTCCACAAGTTATATATGCATGAGGCAAGCAGCAATACATTGACTTATGAATCATTGACACAATGATAAATATAGTAACTACTTTAAGAATTAGATAACTATTGGACTCGTAACTTGTTTATCAGGAATGTACAATAATAAACAGTAATAAAAGAAACTCTTTGGTCAGATAAAAATAACTGAGTCATGGCTTCCTACACAAAGAAACTGGGATGTTATGTGTAATTTCACACAATATCAAAGTAAATATATTACCTATTCTCCACTAAGACCTCTTCATCTTCAATATCAAAGTCATCTACAACTTCGACAGTGTCACTCGGAGCTTCATTAGCATCAGCCTATTCATAAAAAACACAGTGAAAGATTATAGCAACATTATTACTTAATATAAACTATATAGAACTTGTAATTCTTTATGAGTGTTTTCATAAAATAAAGATCATTATACAATAGTTATGCCTGTTCGTGACTTTATATTTTATGCATATATATATATATATAATATATATAATTATATTATATGTTTAAGTCACAAATAACCACTATGGTTCTGGGGAACTAATACATCATTGTATTCATTAATGCAAAAACAATGTACAAAGTAGGATCTGGTTTGGTCTAAGGAAATCTTAACTTCCATAGACTAATCATAGACTAATGAATATGAATATATGAATATAGAATATACATATATATTTATTTATTTATTTTTTATTTATGACATTAAACATTGAGGTTACTAACTATTTCTTCTTCTCTTGTTCCCATCATCATGATTTTACTACCCGGCTTCAACTTCAGATCAGACAATAGGATATCATCACTTGGTGGCTTTCCTGCACATTGGAAAAAGTTTCAATATAAACATGAATAATACATATATTCTCTTCTCATAACTGCCTTTGGGGCCTGACCACACATTACGTTAGATGATTGTTTATGCATCCATTATTGCATGAACGCACACAGCCACACATGCACACACGCACAACACACACACACACACACACACACACACACATTGCACACCGCTTCAACACGCTCACGCGCACATGCCACTCAGATCGCCAATCACCACGACATCACATCACACTTACCACACACCACCACACTACACACACACACACACACACACACACACACAACACACATCGTACAGTTATAGCTGCAAAATGTTTAATGTGCAGAGCATGTCACATTGTGGTATAAAACAAAAGTTGCAACTGTTCTACTTGGTCCAATACAAGGATCACTTCTCACGTCGAACACTGCGGATTAAATAAGAATTACCTCGCAAAATATGACTCAGGCACAACCTTACACAACAATATATAACCAAAATTCCTCTAGCAAAAAATTTGCAAATACCGACTCCAAGCCAAGAAGGAATGTGTTCGATCACGACACGAATCACGATACACACGCACGCACTTTGCTGGATTGTGTCTTTTGTACCATGGGCTCACCCGGCCAGGGATGCTGCAAATATTTTTTACCTGTTTTTCTCATACTTTTCTGTATTATGTATAGCCATTTGAAAGATCGAAGACATACACGACGCGTGCTAATATTAGGATTTGATAGGATGGATGTGATTTGTTTGTTGGCCATGGCTGGAGGTGCGGCAGCCCTACATTCTCCAATTACGGGTGCTTTGCGGTACAGCAGTCCATAATGGAGCATGCGTCGCTCTCCAGTTGACTCCGATATCACTGTCTAGGACATAAGCGCGCCATCTGCATCCGAGTGCGTCTCGCCGGGATTGACACTTTTGTCTTCCAATCACAGTCTACGCTCGCTCCCCTTATATACTAATTTTAGCTTATTAATACCTTTACGGCCACGGTAATCGCTCGATCTCACGAGACTAAGGCATTCTGCTAGGCTTATGAACGGTTTCCTACGATAGAGATTTGCACAAAAAACGAATAAATAACACGTCGTTATTAGGCGCACAAGCTACGTACTTTTGTTTGCATTTGTAGCATCTCCGTAATAAGAATTAAGCCCCGCCTTCTTCCTTGATGGGCATGAATCTGGCCGGTCACCGACGTGGACGCGTTCTTTCCCCGCCTGTTTTCTTTTTTGTAAAAATGAAATGTCCGCGATGTATTTCGATAATCGAACAGGAAAATATATTCTTGCCATTTTTACTTTGCTGTTCCGCTGAACGTGTAACGAGTGCGTCATTCATTAAACATTCGAATAAACACACACAATTTAATGTTCGAGGCACCAAATTCCGAGATAATGTTTACACTTGCCACTAGCGCATCTCTTGCCGGTGTTGTTTATTAAGTAAATATTGGCGAATTTTCAATTAAAATAATTGCGCTTTTTATTATGTATTACCACAATGCTATACGTATAGAAATATAATGTGTTATCTTTTATTGTCATTTCTTCCGTTATCGTTTCTCTTTGGAGTTTCATCGTTCTTTAATGCCTTTCGCGTAGTTTTCCTGCTGTGTTATTATTATTGGCGCAGGCACTCATTTTGGAAATCCTCAACATTTTTTACTTCTTCTTAGTTAATAGGATTAGTTTTACTCTATGGTTCTAGCGGTATTTTCAGTTAATTAGGTTAAATACGCTAGTATAAAAAGTTTCCATGGTTCAATCACTTAGTAGAAATATATTTAAAAACATTGTTTTAACCACTAACTGATACAGTTTAGATTACAACGACGTGGCACCACTCAAAGCGTATGATCTGATTAGTGCTGGCGCAAAACACTTTTCAGTCAAGTGGCTACAGAACGAGGTGTTTCTTAATTTATTCATTTAAAGCAAACCAAGCGTATTGCTAATATCTTTAATAACGAAAGTATTAGTTTCAGGTAATTAATATGGATAAATTTGCCTCTAAAATGAATTATCGTCTTCGGTTAAATAGCATTAGGTATAATGAATATAATATGCACTTTTGTGAATTAGCCTCGGTCTGATAACATGCAAAAATTTCATGTTCAAATACGCAACCTTTTTAGTCGGTGACAGCACGGTCGCGTGGTGTCAGTGGCTGCCGTTCAAATTTTCGTAGCGTTTTGTGCTAATTATGTTAACAATGAAATTTAGATATGCCCGCGTCAAAAATACGTGTGGGATATACGACGATTTTTATCAGTAAGTCAGTTTTATGCCAGGTAAAATCTAGAGGCTACTGCTCCCTTTAAGTTTAGTCCATCTTTCACTGTTTATTTAGGAAGGAAGGTCAAACTGCATGCATTCGTTAATCTTTACTCTTGTTCTTATAGTTATTGATTTTCATTAATTTTGCTCTTCTGCCCACGATAATATTGTCCCTCATCATGAACCTATCATTTTTAAGTTCGGACTCTTATACATATCGTTATAACCTCCTTATATCATTAATTAAATCCCCTAGTATGAATATGTTGTGCATTTTTTTAATACTTGGTTGCCATTATAATTCTCTATCCTTTTCTTGTTTGTGAGATGTCTATAACATTGTATTTGTTTGGTCATATTTAATTCGATATCTTTTTGACTTTCAGCTAATCGTGGAGTAATGCACTGACCATTTTTTTACGGTTTTATAATTCCTCAATTCCTACAAGTTATCCGTCGAATATATAATCATTTGTCCATCTTACGAAATCGATCAGACATTCCGCTGACCGCCTGTGGAGACGTGCGCGGCCGTCGAATTTGCGCGCACGTCTCCACTGCGGTTCCAGCGCTTCATACTTGAACATCCCCCGGTCGCCGTTGCGTCATTATCCCGCGAATGCTGGCCGCGGTCCATCCGCGCGCAGCGCTCAGGATCTACAGCAAAGCTGTGCCACGCAATCTTGTATCATGTCTCTCTGGATTATGTATTAACCCTAAATCTAAACCTAACACTAAATCCAAACCGGCTCGGCTATCTTATAGTTATATATGAGTGTCATAGTATCCAATTAATCTATGGTGCATAACCCTTTGCTTTCAATCTTTTGCATTTGAACTGACGGGCTAGCTGGCCCAATAATGTTCATTTTCATACTTAATACCGTACTAATACTAATGCTGAGAGGGTCTATGTCCCCCAGGGTACTGCCGGAAAGTACCCTGGGTACGGTCCGGTATACCAAAACGTACCCTGGTACTATCTAATATGTCGGACCGTACCTCGCCTACTCCACTAACGAGTCTAGGGAGTCGCCTATGCCTACTCCCTAACCCTACCCCTAACCCTAACCATATCAGATAGTTTCCAGGGTACGTTCCGGTATACCGGACCGTACCAAGGGTACGTTCCGGCAGTACCCTGGGGGACATAGACCCTATGATTGAGCAATACTAATAGTAATACTAATAGTAATAGTATTAGTAATAATAGTAATAATACGAGGGTCGAGTGTTTTCTAGCTCATCAAAACTCTTAAATCGTAAATTCATTTCCAACGGCATTATTTTGTGGGAAAGCGACGCATGCACAAATAGACTGCCGTACCTGCAGCCTCGTAAATTGTAGATACGGCTGCCGTACCTCCAGCAACTCCGTTGTTTGTTACAATGTTAGGCAATTGACTTGTTTTGAAATTTTGGTAGGCTATTAGAAATTTACCTTTGTACTTCAAGCCAAGAAGTTTCTGTCGTTCTGATAAAACATTAGTTTCTTTCTCTATAGCAAGCTTTAAGTCGGCAATTGTACAGTTTTCTTGCAGATTCTTAATATTATACTGTTGGCCTCCCCACTTTACTACTAAATTTGTAGGGGCCGCCATTGTGTTTTGTGAATGTCCTGCCCTCTTTCGCAAATAATTGAAAACTTATTAAAAACGAATTAGGTGTTGTAGAAACTGTAATACAATTTTATATGATGCCACATAAGAATAAATTTAAAACCTCTAATATCAATTATATATTATTTATAAATTAAAAACGCTATTAATGGGTAAATCAGTATTTTATTATCATGACAAATAAGAAATATCCAAAACAACAAAATGAGCAAAACAAGTGACCAGTAACGAGAAAGTAAATTTCCCATGATACATCACAACTTTCAGTGTTGTTTTTGATGGCGAGTGCAAGCAAGTACGGCCCACTTGTTGGGGCAGTGGACCAAGGTACGAGCAGTACACGATTTTTGGTGAGTATATTTTTGTGGTTTACGTATACTGACACTATTCTTAAAAAACAATACTGTTTATATATTGTCATGGTATATTGCGCGTAAAACGGTAAATGCGTATTCACACGCCGGCATTGGCATTGAGATGATTAACATCGTCGCGATGCCTATGGACCATGAGTATGGAAAGCACGATAGAGCACAGTCTAGGCCGTGTCCCCTTGACTAGTACTAGTAGTAGTAGTAGTACTACTACTACTACTACTACTAGTACTAGTACTAGTAGTAGTACTACTACTACTAGTATCAGGAGTAAGATAATATAGGATCCTATATTATCTTACTCCTGATAGTATAATAACCGGCCGCCCATGTTCCGAAACTAAACGACCGGTGGTGTATGAATTATAATTGAGACCAGACCACTATTAAATCCTCTATAGGATCCTAGGCTATATATAACTATAAGAATTGAATTTCAGGAGCTGAAAAATAGTATTTCGACCGTTTTCGGCCGAGTGGCAATATTAAAGCTATAAGTAGCCATGTACTTCAGCTGTGCACCATGAGTGTTATGTCCTATGACATGTTGTCCAGCGTTTTAAAAAAATATCGCGAATTTACTAACCGACACCACATTTGTGCCTGCAAAACAGTCGCGCAGTCGAATAGGGGCCATACATTGAAAGAATTTGTTTTAAATTACCAGTAACCATCCACCCATCTCCATGTGCATGTCATTGCCACACACGATAGCCAGCCTAAATAATGCAACCACCATACATCGCGTCAGCTTTAGTGCACGAGCTGCGGGCCCTCTGATTGGTCGGCCGATGACGCGTCACATACTCTAACCTAACAGGGTAATGAACCGGTAGTGATTTAATAGTGGTCACGTGTCAATTCAATGTTATTAAAACATAGCTATAATAGAGGGCAGTGTTACTGTCCATTGACCAGTGTTACGGGTCCATTCCTTGGAACCTGTAGGGTGCAACAAAGCATATGAACTAGTGGTGTATCATAGTTTTATTTATGACTTTTAATATGACCTTTTCTTTATTAGGTCTTTGATAGTCGAACTGCAGAACTAATTATAGTTAATTATAGTTCCTGCACACAACTTTGCTAATTATACGACGCCACTTGATCTATCTCTGTCTTCAATATAGACAGACTATTGAAGACGGCGTTGACCTCCGACAAACATACTTTCTTGCAGAAATGGCATAGCTAAAGGGTTAGAGTAAAATAATCCGGGTAAAAAAAGAGTTAACTTGATATTTTTCGCAACAACGTCACACCTATGTGGTAGATTGGAAAGGTTTCTGCAATAATGCTGCCGGATGCGATTTTATGGGATTTGATCGACACTGTTTGTCACAAGAAGCGATGGCCGAAATCTCGCTTCAATTTGTTCATGAGTGTGAAGTTATAGTAAAAAAATACTAAGTTAACACATTTTTTTACCTAACTATTTTACTCTTGCAATGAAAACCCTTCCGTTTCTGAATGATGTGGTGGGTGAATTTCGGAGGTAGAAATTCAAAAAGGGATAGCGATCTCTATCTATCCTCTATCATTCCGTGAGTTTGTGCACAATATGGCATTCGCGCTGTGAGATTGTGTCGGTAGATAAACATTGAGGCTTTGGTAGTATATACAGTTCATGGTTATATACCATCGCTATTATTCACATGGCCCAAGTGCCTGTGACCATAACGTTCACCTTCAAAGTCAAGTCAAGGATTTTTGGCCAAATTATAGCCTATAACCAGCACCAGCTAAAACAACAACCAATGTAATTCCAGACCCCCAATTTCTAACTTAACTCGCTGCAAAAGTGGGCAGGGCGTAAACGATGGGGTGGCGGAATTGTGGAATTGAAAAGTAGCCATTAAGATACCCTTTCATGTAAATTATCTGTCGTGCTTTTATAATTGTAACTAGCGCAGTGCCATATATAGCTGTTCACAGTGCACGGAGGCGCATCTAGGCCAGATCCTGACCCGTGAGAGTGCCAATATCAGTGCTGTGATCCACGGAATAGGTATTGGCAGTGATGTATCCACGTTCTAGTGAGTCTGTTAATCTTCGCACCTACCACTCGTTGTTGGGCTAACAGTGCTAACAGATTTTGGGCTATAGATTCTCTGCCAATACTACATTTACAGATCGGGCTATGGCTTTTCCAAGTTTGTAATATCTCCTTTTGAGTTTAGTGTGTCCCTAATTCCATCCGGATAATGGTAACCTTGCACTGAGTGTGCTGGTTCATTTAGCTAAAAAATAGGTGTAAGACTGATAATCTATCCAGCCTGACACAGTTCCATTAAATAATATTGTCACATCTTCAGGAATACAAGTTTCTCCAAGTAAAATTATTCTATTCCCATATTTGACCCATTTCTGGAATTTACACTTTGTCATGTTTTTTTTTAATGAAAACTCTGAAATGAGAAACACTGTTGGAAAAATAAAATGGTTCAAGGTTGACAATTGTGATGCCATTCGTGCAGATCTCAATCACCCTCAGTCAATAGTATAGAGAAATTCATGGTTCGATTCCATGGTTAATATGCTGCACATGATTTTTTAAATCTTGGCTTATAGTATTGCATTTAAATCTAAATGTAGCCACTACTACTACAACTAAATCATATTTCTAAGTTCATTCCCATTTAGATAATTCCATGTCATCTTCTCAATTTATTGAGCAGACAGTTTTAAAGAATCTGTATTGCCAGATCAGGGTTTCTTCTGAGAGAAAATTAGACAAAGGAGGTAATGGCCAGTTTGTTAAAATGGACTCGGTCGGGTTAGCGGAAACAAACGTCTTTTTTTAGGCATAATGAAAATTTGATTTGTAGCAGTTTAAGCGTGATTTATTGGAAATGATGTCTTCAATAGATATCAAAATACTACATGGTATTGGTAAGCTGTAGGGTGCAACAAAGCATATGAACTAGTGGTGTATCATAGTTTTATTTATGACTTTTAATATGACCTTTTCTTTATTAGGTCTTTGATAGTCGAACTGCAGAACTACTGACATATCACCAAACAGACATAAAACAGTTCTTCCCAAAAGAAGGGTAAATATGTGTAGTAATCTCATCTATTGCACCGTTTAATTAGTTTTGATCTTGCACCTGTATTTTATATATATATGAAAAAGAAACCAGAGATAGAGAGAATATCTAATTAGGTCGTACATAGTTATTTTACCCTGACTTGGCTGGCACTGCAATAATACCCCCCTTTATGAAGGTAATACAAAAAGAAATGTTCTTTTGTTTATTGCTTACAATAGCACAATAACAACAATATTATTTATTTTCGGATACAGTAAACAATCTATTATCCGAAATTCTGAAAACTGAAAAGCTCCGAAACCGAAAGTTTTTTCATGGAGTTCGTCTGCACACCAAAGCTCGCGTTTGCTGCCAAAACCCGACCCAACGCGATCCATGCTTAATTAATCCCATTGCTGAGTCAATTGTGTGTCAGCGCTCCTACCAGTCAGACGTGCCTTTGTTGCTCACTGATATTCTTTTTTTAGTACTGGCTAGTTGTAGGATATACGGATGTAGTGTACTACCCTTCCGAAATCTGAAAAGTTCCAAATTCCAAAACGTGTTGGGTTTCGGGTAATAGATTGTGTACTGTATCATGTAATACCACGAGGAGTCTTCTGAGATCTTTCATCATATATGTCTTTCATCATATATGGCTTGCACTCGATCCACACTGCACTCGATTTTACAATTCTGAACCAGCTAGAAGTCAATTCAGAATGATGAACATCATGAATAGCACTGGTAGGTATTTCGTAATTTTGACAGCAATTTATATAATTGTGAAAGGTGAGAAAGTGCGAGAATTTCAGTAGACTTCTCAGTATTGTGCACAATGAAATAAGATTACTAAGATGTGGCGTAGATTTTTACAAGTGAACATTGCCCTTCAACTAGAAATAAATATGGAGGGGTTTGGTTCAGTTTGTACAGTAATCTCACGAAATCAAATGAATTGTAGTCGGATATGGCAATCCCATCTGCTATGAATGTTCATGTGTAATCATGTGGGTTTGGCAGTGTCATGAAACTGTACTGAACCAAATGAGTAGCATGTAAGTAGTGTAATTAGAATACATATTAGTACATAAACACACCATTTTACGTTATTTACTATTAGTATTTGTTCTCTGAAATACCCCAAGGGCCTGTGAACAGGTATGTCAGAATACAGTCAAATCTGCATAGAAGAGTCACTCAGGCCAATTAATCTCATTAAGGGACAGGTAACCCTTTTATGGAAGTATGTTTACTGTCTAACTGCCACACAAGAGAAATGCTAAGAGTGTTCTTTCTAGACAGGTGTCTGCTCTATAGAGGTGACTGCTGTTACAGGTTTGACTCTAATTACAAGTGGAAGGGGTAAATGTTTTTATACTACCTGGCGGAGTTGTGATATTAGAAGGAATGTTATAGGAAATATAGCTCTACATGGACAAGCCTATCTGATTAGCCAGGACTGGCTAGAATGTGCTATCTAACTAGTACTTGGTCAATGAGGTCATGTTCGTAGATGGTGGCCTAGTGCTCTTATTTATGTCAAATGGTCAGAAAGATTACTTGGTGGTAATATTGGCCTTTGTAAGCTCACTCTAAGCCACCAATATATTCGCGAAAATGTGCTTATAAATCTACTATATGTCATGCCCTGTTGTAGACTCTTGTAGGTAAATGTTAAACAATAGTAAAACAACGGGAATTTTGTAACGATATAGATATTATCAAGAGTAGGTAAACTAGAAAAAACAACAATGAAAACTCAAAACCCGTCTTAGTTTCGATTGAATTAAAAAGGTTATCCACATACTTTGAAAAATGTACTAATTTATAATCATCTGTGCATGCATGATTCAATAAAACCCTCTGCATCTGGTTATCCCAGGTTATTTTTTGGTAACATGTTGGTGTCAGTCGTGTCACTTAGTATCTGTGCAATCGTCTCTCATTCAATCATTGACCTTGCGATCACATTCTGGTTGCTGACTCGTACATTTCCTCCGCTAAATCTGATATATGCGCATATATGCTTCTGACAAGCTATCTTTAACATCTTGAATGCAATCTGAAAACTTCTATAACAGCTAGTGCTATCATAGTCCTAATTTGAGGGTAATCTCTGTTCAATCATTCTGACAACACCCCCCTGCAAACTACATTCCACTACAGGCAGCAGTGGAAAATTCACATTTATCTACTCTTTTCTGATACTATCCATGATGTGCCCAACATTACATCGATCAAGACATTCAGAAAGTGGAATTTGTTGCAGTCAGATCTGTAATGTATGCCGCGTGTGTTCGCTTATAGTTTAAATGTCTACAACTGGAATTAGTTGTTTGCACACAAAATCTATGCCGCTTTTCTATTCAGTATTTACACATTACAACTGTATGATTTATGTGTGCATTACCTCCATCCAGAGTAAATCCTGTCCAAAGGTTATTATTTTATGCACTGCAACTACTATAAAAAAATGCATCTTACTATACATATTATCAGGAGTAAGATAATATAGGATAAGATAAGATATAAGATAAGATCTAAGATAATATCCTATATTATCTTACTCCTGATATTATCTCCATACTAATTTTGATGGATAATTTAATTCCCATCATAATTAACTTCTTCATGTGTACAATAATTCCTACATGCTGGATGCAGCTATGCCACAGTCTATCAGAGGTCTTAGATTAATGTACCACATTGTCAAGCAGGGAAATCGAGGGAAATGCCTTTGCAATGCTAAACGTTCACATTGTTTTAATTGGTAACCAGAATTAGTTCTTGTTAAATTAAAACAATGCCTGTTGTTTTACAGATGGGTGGAAGAGGACCCAAAAGAAATACTAGCATCTGTGCATCTATGTATCGAAAAAACAGTGGAAAATCTAAAAGGGTTGGGTGTGGACCCCACAGAAATCAAAGGCATGTATAAAAAAATTCTAAATTTAAATCTGTAGCTGTTAACGGATTAAATATAATTATATTAACTGGAAGTGAGGAAGCAATAATAAACCCATGCATTAAACATAAATTACATGGAATTTAAGAAACTAATTAACATAAAAAGTAGTAAATGTTACTAAAATTTTGATAATAAGATACACGAAAATGTTTAAAACGAATTTATCATTGTCTTGCCTGCATTACATATTTTGTCACATTGCCAGTGATTCATTTTGAAAACAGCTATTGGAATCACAAACCAGAGGGAAACTACAATTGTGTGGGATAAGTTGACTGGTGAACCACTACATAATGCCATAGGTGAGTTTATGTACCAAATTTACAACAAAATACCTGCTTGGATCAGTGAAGTTGATTGTGCAGTAATATATTAATGAGATTAAGCATTAATTTGTGCTGTGTATCATTGTATGTCTGAGTGTAACTGCTGCACAGGTCATCATCTTGATTATTGGTAAAGCCCGGGTCACAACAGATCGTACGAAATTTTGTCGAGGTAGACCCGTAAAATATTTGTCGTGGCCAGATCTTGCAACATGCCCGAAATGTATTTCGAGTGGTCACAAGGGTTTTGACACATTAAAGATGATTTGGCGATGGGGACGCGACAGAAAAAAAGATATGTCGTGGTTATGTCATGGGTGTGTCGCAGGTCAGTCGTGCGACAGTCGTGAGTTGTCGGGGGCTGTTTTTCACGTGAACAGGTCGTGGTTCACTCGTGGGATGCGCATGCTACAGTCGTGCGACTGTCGCACAACAGTCGTGGGTCTCTCGTGGGACGCTCGCGCGTTCGTCTCCCGGCTATATAACGACGTATTATTGCACGACAGTCGCAAGACTGTTGTAGGACGGACTCACAACAACCAGAAGACATAGATACCACAAAAAATCGTGGAACAAAAAAGGTGCATGTTCAATTTTGCCGCACGATGGCAAGACGATGCCACGATTCTCAAAATTTCGTAGGACTGTCTTGTGACGACCCCCGATGACCCACGATTTTGCCCAAATTTTCTGTAGTGTCGTGGCACAAATGCGTCGTGGGCTCGTTGTGACTGAGGCTTAACGTTGTTTCTTTGTCTACATGATAGCAAGTGAAATACCATAGAAAAATCACCAGTATGGTGGCCGAGGGCTGCCACTACAATTTTACCTCTGAAATAAATAAAAGCAAAAAAAAAAAATCAAAATCAAAATCAAATTCAAAACGAAATCAAAATCAAAATCAAAATCAAAATCAAAATCAAAATCAAAACGAAATCAAAATCAAAATCAAAATCAAAATCAAAATCAAAATCAAAACGAAATCAAAATCAAAATCAAAATCAAAATCAAAATCAAAATCAAAATCAAAATCAACTCCCTCTCCAAACACCATAGGTCACCTTGTTCTCGGACCCTCTGTGCCCCTTCTCCACACAGCTTCTCCCCTCCTCCTTCTGCCACACCTTCTCCTTCTCGCTCTCTCTTCTCCCAACCCAGCTTCTCCATCCCTGCTCCTTCTACCACCACCTTCTTCCCCTTCCTCCCCTTCCTATCAATTCCTCAAGCCATATTGAAGTCGGCCATATACGGCCGCGTGCGTATAGCAATATGGAATCTTATCGCACATTCGGAGTGGAGACCGCCGTGCGTAAAGTCACTTTCCAATACGGGGGCGCACATAACTCGTGTAGCGAAGAGATATATGTCCGGAGTGAAGGTGGCGACGGGTACCAGTCTATATTGGCAGCTCTCGGCCAACGCGTAACTCATTTCACTTTACTTTTGATTTTGATTTTGATTTTGATTTCGATTTTGATTTCGTTTAGGTTTTTAATTTGATTTTGATTTTGATTTTGATATTGATTTTGATTTTGATTTTGATTTTGATTTTGATTTCGATTTTGATTTCGT